TTCTTGCTTTCCCACAAGTTGTTCTAATTCCGGCTGGGGTGGACTGCAGTTTCGACCTCGCTGGGGGTGTTGATAAGACCGATGCGAGGTCGATGCAATGAAAAACAACTTATGGGAAAGTAAGACGATGTGAAATTGAATGGGAACGTCAGCTCTACTCATAGCATTGTGGGAAAATTCTACCACCATCATCCTTCCCTTATCACCTTACACGAAATTGGGTGAATACATGTCATATTACAAAAATAGATGTTTAAAGGTGGATATTTAATGATTTGGTCCGTTTTATTTCACATTAATGAGGTGAATTCGACCTGAATTTATGTCTTTGTTGCCATGCATTTTCACCCGAAACGAGGGAGGATGTCTCGTAGACCGCGCCAGCCAAACCGTCGTACAGAAAAGGCCAAAAGGCTGCATAACTTTCGGAATCGGCCATCGTCTCCCAGTGAGAATGACGAAATTATAGTCTCTATATCAATGCTGTCTCAAAAGCATGCTCGGTTTAGAAAACTCTTAATAATTCTGGCATATCGTAACAACAGTCCAGATTATTCAGAGTTTAAAGACCCAAGCAAAGGCATGACTGTACTTGAGTCTTGCTGAACACAATTCTGCTTAAGTTGCTAGGCTGGGCAGAAGTTTTGAACGAATGTGGATATGTTTAGATGCCTATTTCTCCTATAATCTATCAATCAAGCGTAATTATTTCCCTCCTATCCTACTGCCCACATTGTTTACACTTAGAGTATTCCATAATATTACTAAACTCTAAAGCAACATACAATTAAAACTGGGTAAACCGACCGATGCGAACGAGACCCTACCATCACATTTCAGGTTTTCGTCCGAAATCAGGTACCGATGACATGGACTCCAACAGCATTTGCAAGAAGACGATTTTGGCATCATTTCCGAGAGGACTTCTGCCCGTATCGGACGCCTCCTGACGGAAGTGTCAAGATCTCGACGGTTGTTACGAGCCGATCGAGTGCCTAGAAAGCCTATTTCAATAAGACTCTATGGAAGTTAGATGAGGATGCAGTTAATAGCGATACTACTCAATTGTAATTCAGTAGCTTATTGGCATGATTGAGGCTCATCATTGCACATTGCACGCATGTGATCTTGCCAAGTTGAATAAAATCTCACTTTCGAATCTGTGCTTCGTAAATCGGTTCACGAGAGGCCACCTCGGATCACTCCGTTTGCAGACGACCGCCTCGACGAGATCAACAAAGGCTCAATTTGGCACATCCTCCGGACGTGGAAGGAGAGGAGGCTGTGAAAGCCCAGCCCGAGGACACTCGGCTTCGCTGGACGCGACCTTTGACTTGATGTTCCATCACGACGCCACGTCAGGAGATGTTCGAGCCCCATTTAGCAGATGAAATGGTCTCTCTGGAGAGCGCCGCTCGGGTCATTGGGTCATTCAGAAGCTGTCGGCACATGTTCAGACTCCGAACCAGTCGGAGGGGCTGCGCAGTGCTGCTTGGACGAAGAAGATCTCCGTCACGGAGGACAGCAAGCGAGCCAGCAACTGTCTAATGATCCCCTTCCAAGAAGGATGAGATGTGCTGTATCATCACGACGTACACGAGATGAGCCTAATCGGGCTCGGATCATCGGTACTTCTCAGCCTTTCCTGTCAATAAATCTCTTGTTTCATAATTGTTGGGCCTACTTCCATTTCGAGTGAAGGTGTTTAGTGAAAAGATTCGAAGGTCGGTTTCACTAAAAAGCGAATTTTAAAGTATCATCTAGAATGGGTGGGTCTCGAAACTGTCAGAAGATCTTGAACAAGACCTCAAAGGGCCACTGGCCATCATTCAGCCATGCCTTCCATGCGATTCTCTCGTCCCGATTGGGCGGTCGTTTCGATGCCACACAAAAATATGAATTACATTCACCCTTTTTTCCTTAAGATCATGGAGGATGATAGACAGTAAATTTGCTTTTCCAAAAGGTATTCTCATCCAAGCTGAAGTAGACGGCAGTTTCAACCTCGCCTAGGTCTTATCAACACACCCAGTGGGACTTGTAATAGTAGAATTATCGATAACCTACTTCTAAAAGAAGAGTAAGTAGTATCGACAATTCCTATAGCAAATACATCTCTGCATTTTAACAATCACATCACATAATGTTATATGTGAAAATGCCGGGCCTTCGTTGAAATCCACATCTGCTCTGCGACCCGATGGAACTCGTCGAAGTCTGGCGTAATGTCAAATGTGTTATTATCCTACACTATGCCATCACGGTTCGAGTCCCGCTGTGAATGTTGATTAAACCTAGACGAGGTAGATACTAGAGTCCACCTTGGCCCATATGAGAATACATCTATGGAGGTAAGTTTATGTGAAATTTAATGAAAACGTAAGGTCTATTCAACATAATGTGGCGAAATTCAACTACCAATCCTATTATTACCTTGAAGTAAATGATATAGAAATAGTATAAAAAACCTACTTATAAACTATGGATAAGTTAAAATTCGCTTAAACGGCAGTAGGCAGCACTGGAGAGACATTAAAGTCAAGACATGCTTCTCCTAATTCACATTTATCGTAGGATTCTAGATAAGGCCAGATTAATTCTACCATTGCAATCGACCATATTGTTATATTTTGAGTGAGTACGTTTCTAAGGAACCAGCTAATTTTATCCAAGTTATATAATAATATATAACTATGTATATGTCTATACAATAACTTGGATAATATGGGTCACTATTGCATTTAATGACAATACAATTGTCGAATACCTGTAATACATATGTTGTATAGTGTATTTTAAATAAAAATATTCATTCAATAGATAGTAATGTATTCAAAAGATATGATGAGCACAAGTTTAATTTTTATTATTATTGTCTACATCATCTTGTGAGTGAACAAGTTTATAGGGCATCGACAGGGATCATTCA